GCATTATATCCTGATGTGAAGGCAAAAGCCATAGTTAGAAATCTAGATGCAAGTTTAAATTTAATTATGTTGTTACCTATACAGAAAGCTCAGTTGAGTGGTCAGTTGAATAAATAACATCTATATAAGTCAGGCTGAGGGTGCACTGCAGTAGCAGTCCACAGTGTACTCCCGTGGCTGGTAATCTGGAAGTTTACTTTCTTTCTATGCATCTATTTTAAGATAAATCCTGTTTTTGTAAATGTAATCTCATTGTGATGAACAAACTGTTTTTATATCATCTAAGGTTAGACATTGAAGTCACCTGTGGATGTTTTTCCATCTCCTTGCTTATCCTAGTCCCTTTCTATGACAGACATAGAAATTGGGAACATACACGCACACACACGTCCTGGGGCTGTTGATTCTGCAAGTGTGGAATAGTGTAGTACCAACTTTTTAAATTTATTATCTAATTTATTGATATAAAATTCCCCTTTATCTTAAAAGAATATCAGTGGTAGTTAAGCTTCATCCATAGATTGTGTATGAAATTGTATTCCTTTTACCAACTTATAAGGTTAGCACTCAAGTCTCTGCTGTGAAGTATAACAGGTATGAAATTCTAAAATTCATTTGGATGTTCAGCTTTTAATGTAGATTGTGGATTAAAATGAAATGTATGCCTTTTACTTTTTTTTTTTTTGCAAGTGTTTTTAAAAAATTTATTGAAGAAATGTGAACATAAGGGAGAATGTTAGCACCGAACATCCTATTAAGCAAATCCTATACTTGTTAAAGAGAGAAACGTGTGACTCTGTAGTATGTCATTAACGAAATTTTAAAATTTGTTTTATGTTTATTGAAACTCAAAACAGATGAGCCAAGTACCTCTAAAAGATTAGCAAAGGAAGATTAGCAAATGGAAGTGGAGAAGTACTTCCACAAAGAACACACCCAAAAATTACCTGAGAACATCTGCAACACTTGGACTCATGACCTCAGTGCCAGTCTGCCAACCCCACACACAGTCCTGCAGACTACATGCTGGGCCTGGGCGCTGGCGGGGCTGGGCTTCTCCCCCAGCCTCGTCCAGCTTCTCAGGGTCCCCAGCACTCCCTCCATCTCCAAAGCTAGCGATGGTGCCTCTCTCTCCTCCCAACTCTCACTCTCCCAACTCCCTGCTTCACTTTTGATTCAAAGAGGCCCAGCTGCAGACTCCAGAGAGCCTCTCTCCAAGCTTGGCACACAGGGGCCTGAGGTTCAGCTGTAACCTGCAGCTTCCTTTACCGTTTAACCTAATGCATGCACAGGTTCTGGGGTAGCTGTCTCTGTCTGGCGTCATTACTTGGCCTGCCACAAAGAGAGTCTTCTCATTAAATACACATGTAAATATACATGAAATACACAAAATTAATATTTTTTGTGATAGTTCAATGACTGTCATTCGTTTGTTCTAATCCACAGAATTTATCTTTTTTAATCTAAATAAAACTCATTAAAGTGGCCAAATACAACCATGGCAAAAAAGCTAAGGGCTGTAACTAAATGTATAGTATTACAAAGTAGTGGTTATTTGTGTGCGTTTATATGTATATATAAACATATACAAATATATATATACACACACACACACACATAATGTGAATGTTAATCAAGAGGTTCTAGAAAACGAATGTGTAACAAAGTTTCTCCAAAAGGTAATGCTTATAAAATACAGCCATGCTTACAAGGGTCCAAAAGCAGCCCCAGAGGAGATTCTTAATAAAGGATGCAGAGGTCAGGGACCAAGAGAATCTTTCTTTCCTGGTTGCCATCTTCCTTGTTCTCTTCTCACTCGTGGCCTTTCGCTGTCCACACTGAAACTGCCAGGTGTCGTGGAGGCACGCTGCTGTCATGGGGCCAACCCAGGCACCATCAAATTACCAACCCCAGTGATAATGGTGCCGCTGTTTCTGAGGAAGCCATGGAGCAACGAGGGGCAGTCAGTCACGTACCAGTCAGCCAGCGTACCTGTAATTCCAGAGCAAAGGCCCTAATTCCTTCCAGGGCTCACATGTTAGCTTTGGTTTTTGAAAAATACTGTGCTTGCAAGTATGACCACTGTCACTGGCAAGAGCTTGTACCCTGTGCATGGCAGATTTAAAAGACAGGAATGTGGTAGTGACGGTCATTTTCAGTCAGCAGGGAGATCTCTGGCCACTCCCTGAGAGGCTCCTGTGGATAGCACAC